ATGGATACATATATATGTGACAATTAGAAATAAAAGAAGAAGACTTGGAAATATATACAAGTAATCTTTAAAAATTGAGCGACGATTTTAAACTGCGTTTTGTTGATTTGAAAAATATTGACATCCCTGATTGGATTATTGTGCCATTTTTTGCTCAAATTGCAAACGTGGCCATCAACCTGCAAGATGAGTTTGCTAAATTATTATGGGGATTTGAAGCAAAGACGCTTTTTAAAAATTTAACAATAAGCAAATTTTTGACAAATATAAATATGATGCAAAAATATGTAAAACTTTACGAAATAACTCAGCCATTTATGATAGCATTTCCAAGTTCCTATATGGTTGAAGCCGGTTTCAGCACGTAAATTCAATCTTAATTAAGAACAGAAATAAATTAAATGTGTAGTTTCGAGGGGATTTAAGATTAAAATTTACCAATTTTGAACCCTATATAGCAAACCTTGCAAAAAAAACAAACAAAAAAAAACACCAGGCACACCCATGTCATTGATTAAGAAGCAATAAATCCGTAGTTACTTATTATTTCTACTTACTTATAATTACTTATTATTTCATAAATAAAGGTATTTATATTTCAACATTAATATATTTTTCATAAAACTATTGTTATACTATGTACTATTACTATAATAAATGTTCAAAATCATAAAATAAATGTACAAACATAGTATCTAATAGAGTTCTATTTTAATTAACAGAAAATTACTTTTATGGGGGTCGATGGAGATTTCGAAAAGTTTGGAGATTTCGAAAAGTTATGTAGGGGTCGATGATCAAAAAAGTTTGGCAACCCCTACTCTAACTCATGATTCCTCTACCACTGATGATATTTTACACCAGTACTGATGTCGGTGTGAGCCAGGTGCAGAATCTGTAAACCACGAAAGGAAACGAAACGAGAGGAAAACCACGAAAACCTTCCTTGCTTAGCTTGACGACAAGGGAACTCTAACCAATAATCCGTCAACCATTGAGGACGTTTTATGTGGTCGTTGCAAGCCGGGAACAGAATTCGTATCGACCACCCGTCTCTGGTATTCGAACCCGGTTCACTTCATTCTGCTATAACTTTAATAATTAACATTTAACACAAAGAAACCAGTCAATCAAGTGTTATAGAATTAAGTATAAAAGTGAAAACAATTTTAACATTCAAAGTAAAATTATATTTATTCTGCCAGAAAATCATCGTCGAGTGCAAAGGGTTAACACATCTGAAACGTTGGGAAGGGAATTACTATGTTTTTCAGATTTCTTAAATCCTTCTTACACAAGTACAGGGATGCCAACTGCTCCGCTAACCGCAAATAATTTATAAAAAGGTAGAAAGTAAAAGACTAAAACTTGCTGAATTTTGCTCAATTTGGCAGCCTAATCATGCCGTTTTTGGAGGTAGGTTAGTGTTTTATTTACGTCACACAATTGGGTATTGACGATGATCTGGAAGACATGCCATCAAAATTTCGATCCTCTGCAATGCTGTTATTGGAGCAAAGCAACATTTTATAAATAGTTTGAATTATTTATTAGTAGTGGTAAGGCAAAGTAACTTTATTACTTAGTAAGTTTATGAAATCAAGAATCACATGCTGAACGATACAGGGGTTGAACAAAAATATGAAAACACTTCTATACTAACTCTATGTAAACAATCTTACATGAAAATTACTAGATGTAAGTAATTTATTCCCTTATTACTCGGTGATTTTGAAATAGGATTAAGCGTTTCATTCCAGAATGCTTTTAAAGCTAGTGATATTAAAAAAAAGAAACAAAGACTTTTAATTTCTTACGCTCATTTTGGTTGATAAAAATTTTACATGGGTAAAAAAGACTCCATTTCCAAAAGCTTCAAGCATTATCTTTCAAATTGTGTTTTCATGGTCTGGAAAAAATTTTACTTTTAATTACCAAAACTTTCAGAATTTTTGGTAGCATTTTAACCCCTAGGGGACGTGTGATTCAGAAAAGCATTCGTACAAAATCAGAATCAGGATGTAATTAAATAAAAAACGGTAACTTAAATGTAGTCCTTGCTAATTTGACAGACTGACTTTACTTTTAGTTTAATTATTGTTAGTTTAATCATATATATAATCAACGTTAGTTCAAAGTATAACTGAATACTTTTATTTTGAACAAAGTAATGGTGAATTAAATAAATCAAACAATTATGACTCCGCCCACAATTAAACTGCTAAAGAATTACTTTGATTACCAGTTTTATCTTTTTACCCTGACTGATTCGGTTTTATGCTGGCACGTATTTGTGACAGTCGGCGCGAAAGGGTTAAAAGCCTCACCACGAGAGAGCTGGAACAAAGTGGTGTTGCATATGAACTTTTAAGACATTTATATGTAGTGGTGTGGAAAATAAGTTTAAATGAATTTTAAAAAAAATCGTTTCTTCATGCGACAGTAATGAACTACTCCTAATGGTTCAACGCTTTCGCTCCGTCCATATCATCGTATTTTGACAAAAGCGTGATTTGATGTTTTCAATTATCTTTTAAATTTTTACTCATGAGTTTCGAAGCACTTTGCACATTTTGTTTCTAATATTTAATTTTAAAACGCATGTAATGCGCATAAATGCGTAACGTAATAATAGAAATATATTATTTATTTTTTATTCACATGCGAAAATACACATAGAAAATACATATTTTTGAAACCTAAGACATCAGTTTTTTAAACAGTTTCTTCTGCTCGATTACAGACGAAGTGATGTACTTGACTTTATACTGTATACTTGATTACTTACTATATACTTTACTATATACTTGATTAATGCAATTTTATGGTAGCTAAATTTGTGCTGTTCATTATCTATCCACGATTTGATTATAGATTTAAACAGAAAGTCTTGATGCATTTCGCGATATTCATATTTTTACTTTGAATCGGAAGAAAACAATGTCTTTTAAACTGACCTGAAGAGTCAAATCAAAATTTGTCTTGGGCCGCGACAGGCTCGCGAGTTTAGTAAACTAAAAGTGTGAAGTTAATGAAACTAAAACAAATTGGATACTCATGCACTGAAGTATAAATAATCATCACGCCTATAGTTATTTAGAGAAAAGCAAATGATAAAATGTGAACACAAACCTGTGAGAGTACCAAGACTGTAGGTGGTCAAAATAATCTCCCCAATATATATCGCCCGCCATGAAGAGTTCAAAAAATTGGTCAAAAGTTCCTTCGAAACCATGTCCGGGTAAATTCTTCACGTGATGGTAGTAGGAAACACAACAATCCTTAGGATTCCTAGCTACATATATATATTTGGAATCTTTTGACCAAGGAGCCAAATGAAATGGCAAATGTGATTTGATTGGTCCTGGTCTCGGCATATTTTCCACTGCCTTTGCTCCTGTGATAAGGGAATGAAGTATTTTGTTAGTTTATAACTTAATTACAGTGGCATGAAACCATTCTGATTGACAAGATATGATTAAAGCAAAGATGTATGGAGTTTTGCTGTGGTAGATCGAGGAAAGTTAATGTTACTAATTTTTCTGAAGTTACCATAATGGATTTAAAGAGCTGTGTTGCAGTATCTGGCTCTTAATTTCTTTCAAAGGTTTTAAAAAGCTTTAAGACGAATGCATACGGCTGTTTAACTCATTAACGCCTCATTTTTTATACTACTATAGAGCTGCTAATCTCTCTTAAAATAGTAGTTAAATAATAATTAAGTAAGTAACGGTTTTTAAAGATTTTTCAAAACCTAAAACCAAACAGCTTGCTTTTCCGGCACTAAATATATATCTTGCAACTATTTACATATTGTGGTGGTCAAAACATTTTTAAGTAAAATTTTAGAACAGAAACTCTGCCGCCACTTTAAATATTTGGATAAAATTTCTGGCCTAAAATTCGAAGAAGTTAGCAGGTCTATGCTACAATTGGGTATACTATAGCCTACGTCACAGGTTGTGTTATTCCTACTAAGTTTAACCCATGAACGGCATTTTCTGCGAGCCTAACTTCAAGCCACAAATAAACAAACGAAGTGTTTGATCGTTTAAATAGCTGCTCGCCAGATTTTATTGCATTATAAAGAAAAGTAATTGATATTCGATTTTTGATTAATAATTGATTTATGTGGATTGTGGCATAGAATTTAGCATTGCGTCATGGTAAATGTTATTCCTACTAAGTGGAAGTAGTTGTGTATTTTTTTTATATTATACCCAATATAGAGAAAAGTTCTGTCATGAAGAAAAAGTAGTAATATTAGGTCTACCGGAAAGTTCAGTCAACGAAGTAAACTCCTCATTTTCCAGTAATGCAAAAAGTTCCTTTATCAAAGAAAGTGATAGATTATTTAACCTTTAACTCAATGATAATGTTCGAGATTAAAGAGACGCAGCCTGCAACAGTGCAAAAGGGCAAGAGCATGCATATTCAAACTTATAACGAAAGTATCATACAAACCTAGCCGGTACATTTGATACTCATTTACGGGTAAATTCTATAATCACCTTTTTATAAAGGCACCTTTGGCATCATTGCATAATGGAGCTCGTACTTTCTTCGCAAATTTTTTCAGGTAAACCTAATGTATGCATGAATGTTAAATTAACAATGTTACAGCTTAATTTTTTTTATTAAAATGATATATTTATAGTAGCAGAACTGAAGCATAATAATGGTTGCCTCACAGTCATTCTATTAAAAATAAAATAACAGTTGAAGAATTATGTTTAGTTAGTTTTTTATCTATTTTAGGATAAATCATGATACTACCATTGCATGTTAACAAATTGAGTAATGATAGTTAGTTCTAAAACTCCTAACGAGACTGTTTTTTTAAAGAAATATGAAAGCTAAAAAGCAAATAATTTCGTTAGATTAAATTAATTAACTTAAAACTTTTGGTAGTTAGTTGCCATTTTCAATAGTTGCCATTTTTACAATGTTTTCAAAAGCAAACTGACTTTTATCGAACACTTCAACCACTGTAGAAGCTTTATATATATTGCTATTTTGTCAATGCACGTACCAATAATCATTCACAAAAAGAAAAACTTATATTGAAATAATTTTCCTCCCATTTCTTTCTTATTGTATCGCAAAAAAAAGTTTTTAAATAATGATGGTGTACTATCACGAGATTATATATTAGATGTTTATGCATAATGTATAGTGATTATATATAATCTATGATGTTTAAATATAACTCGTACGCATGTCTATATATAAGATTCAATCAACGAATATAATAGCATTAATAACATTTTTAAAAACCACGTTTTTGTAGTAGAGAATAATAATAAAAAAAATAAATTGAAAAACGAAAAATGTGGGGCGCATGAAATACATAACAGTAATGTTATATTTGTATGTGTGTATGTGTGCTTTTCAGAATATGTGTATGTATATCTGTAATTGTAATTGTATCTGAATGTGGAATATGTTTGTGTATATGCATATGTATGTGGATGTATATGTGGCTGTGCATGTGTATGAGTAAGAAAATGTGTATCTATATGTATGTGTATATGTACTGTTACGTATTTCATGCGCCCCACGTTTTTCGTTTTTCAATTTTTTTTAAAATTATTATTCTCCACTACAAAAACGTGGTTTTTAAAAATGTTATTTTTTATTTTAAATTTTTTTATTTTAAATTATATTATTTTTAATTTTTAATTTTTGTTTTATATTTTTTAAGAATTATTACTTTTCAATTATCATTCTTCACTACAAAAATGTGGTTTTTAAAAATATATATTTTTATTTAGATTATTTTTCTTCGTCAAGAGTAGTCAAGACTACTACAAGACCACTACTAAAATAATAGAACTTTCATTTTATATTAGGGATACAAAAATCTTTATTCGCGA